TAGAGGATAAAATAATCAAGGATATCTGATTAAAGATATTCATAAAGCTGTTTATGAGCAACCAACCGAATCTTCAGGTAAGTTTGTTATTATTTCGTCTATGAAGCACTTAAAAATACATTGACATGGCCAAAGGCCAGGTACGTCCCACTTACGCTTTACTCACACTATATCATTCTTAAATACTCAAACAGTGCTAACCCTTCACTGAGCATTTCATTAAAAGCTAAAGCTCTTCAACAACACGCCTAACTTGAGCGTCAGAGTGCCTTTTGCAGATACATCCCCCCACCCCCCCCTTGCGTCAAGAAGGAGACCAATCGGTTCATGCCAATACCGAACGGTTGGCAGCAGGAAATCAAAGGAGCGTGAGCGACCAATAGAAGGACGAGCGTTCGGTCTATATTGCAGGAGAGCGAGCATTCGGAGAGCAAGCATTCAGAGAGAAATCGACAAAGTTATTCAGGAGCGGTAAGTCACGTGTCTCGGTCCCACAAAAATATCTACTGAAACATTTTGGCGTCCACCGTGGGGTCGGGGGGCATCCCTTATAATCACAAGAAACCGGATAAGGATACAATCTCACCATTAATGTCAACAAGCTTTTACGGCTTTACAGATAATTATTTTGATATAGATTCATTTTATTATTTAATTTATATGGTTTAATTTAAATATCTTAATTCAATATTATAATATTGTTCAAAGACTTATTAAGGTGACGCACTCACCAATTAGCTAAATTTGGCATCAAGTGTTCAATCATACAACAGCTCGGCCATTCGGCCTCAACTGTTCGGCCTTCCATGGCCTCAATCATTCCAGCATTCGGTCATTTGGCCTTACAGGTACTCGGTCACTCGGTCAAGAGGAGTGCAAGAAGACCGAAGAGGTAAATCTCTCTCAGAAGTAAGCCATCACTCGCATGAAAAATACCCAGGGACGTTATCTGAAAAACACTTGGTCCGAACCGGGCGGTGATAGAAGTTCTCAACGAACTGTCACTCTCGTAAACAAAACTCAGGGACATTATCTGAAAAACTCCTGGTCCAAACCGAGCGATGATAGAAGTTCTCAACGAACTGTCACTCTCGTAAACAAAACTCAGGGACTTTATTTGAAAAACACCTGGTCCAAATCGAGCGGTGATAGAAGTTCTCAACGAACTGTCACTCTTGTAAACAAAACCCAGGGACATTATCTGAAAAACACATGGTCCAAACCGAGCGGTGATAGAAGTTCTCAACGAACTGTCACTCTCGTAAACAAAACCCAGGGACACTATATGAAAAACACATTGTCCAAACCGAGTGGTGGGGAACGTTCTAAGTGAACGCTCCCTCTCGTCCTAAACCGAGCGGTAGAGAACGTTCTAAGTGAACACTCACTCTCGTCCTAAACCGAGTCGGGAACGTTCTAAGTGAACGCTCACTCTCGTCCTCAACCGAGCGGTAAAGCCCGTTCCCTAGGAAGAACTCCTAGGTCAAAATCAAAGCAAAGAGGTAAAGCCCTATCGCTAGGAAGTTCTCTAGGAACTCCTAGTGTAAATCTGAACGATAAAGCCCGTTCTCTAGGAAGAGCTCCTATGTCAAAGTCGAACGGTTACAAATGTTCTTTGTGGAATCTAATCCGGCCTTATAAAATGGCCTCTCGGCCTATTGAATATCAAAAGAGAAGTTATAAAGTCCACCGTTTCGCCAGCAGCGAGCAACGACTAAAAACAGCCTCTCTCAAACTCATAAGTCCTATACTTAACCTTAGCTAAAGTTGAACGTTTAACTCGGACTTGGGGGAATATGTATCGTACCTAGTGGAGACCGAACGATTAACATTTTGCACCGTTTGGTCCATCCACTTAGGATCGATCGGCCTTTCTATTGTAGTCGTGCTCGTCAACTCTACTATAGCAGCGCTCGTCAACAAACCAAGTTAAATGATGTTGGGCCACAATTGGGCCAGCATTTAAGTTATTAGACTAATAATCCAGCAGAGGATAAAATAATCAAGGATATCTGATTAAAGATATTCATAAAGCAGTTTATGAGCAACCAACCGAATCTTCAGGTAAGTTTGTTATTATTTCGTCTATGAAGCACTTATAAGTACACTGACAGAGCCAAAGGCCAGGTACGTTCCACTTATGCTTTACTCACACTTTATCATTCTCAAATACTCAAACAGTGTTAACTCTTCACTAAGTATTTCATTAAGAGCTAAAGTTCTTCAACAACACGCCTAACTTGAGCGTCAGAGTGCCTTTTACAGGTACAGAACGGTCGGCAGTAAGAAAACAAAGGAGCGCGAGTGACCAATAGAAGGACGAGCGTTCGGTTTATATTGCAGGAGAGCGAACATTCGAATAGCAAACGACAAAGTTATTTCGGTAAATCATATGTCTCGAAAAATATCTACCGAAACACTTAGTTTTGGAAACTCATTGTAACAAATTATATATTCAATTTTGCTTTAATTTTGTAATTTCTTTATCTTTTGCTACTTTATACGGAAGTTTTCAGAAAACTATTATTTGTTTTTCATGTTTTTTTCTTATTTCTCGGACTTTCTTGGTAAACTCACTTCTTTTGTCTTTTCATAGCCGGAAACAAATATAAGAGTTTGGAGTAGATTAATGTAACTTAAAAAAAGTAAAAAACAACTGATGTTATAAAATAGTATTAATTTTCCCTTTATTAAAGATAAGTATGATCTAAATTTGAATAATAGATCACTTTTAAGTGATATATATATATAGGTATTCATTTCTTCTTGTACAGGAGATCAATGGATCGAAACGTCAAACAAATATATAACGGTTCTTAGAATATAAATAAAAGCTATTTAAAAATACAGTTTGAAACATTAATTTAAACATTTATAAAGTAGGAATGAAATAAATTAATAAAACCAATGGCGTATCCTCCCAGAGAATGCTTATTTATTAATTTAGTATCGTTGGCTGTGGATAAAATAGTATAAGTCAAATCTTGTGTGATAACGGCCTTTTCTTTTTATAACGGTAGTAGTGTAAGTCAATTAAAAGGTCGTAATCTTATATACGTAACAATAATACAGTATTATCTTGTCATACTTATATTTTTAGTTAAACACATATATTCAAAACCAAATATAAAAATGATATGTTGTCTTATATATGGTTAATTAAACCAATTTTTACTAGGTAAAGTTTTAGTACTCTTCCTTAAAATATGTTTTATTAAAGTGTTTGTGTAGTATTTTGTTATGTGGTATTTAAATGTAATTTATAGGAGGTAAATTTTAAGTTTAATTAATTTTTATGTATCGACTTATAAGATGATTTACACTTACTTCTATATGTAAATTCATTATATGGTGTTAATGTCTTAAAAAGTAGATTTTAAGTTTAACCCAATCTTAGTAAATCAACTTGTAAAGTGAAGTTTACATCTACTTATATAATGTAAACATGTTTGTATTCTTAGTTGATTTTAACATAATCAAATATCCTAATGAATATCAAAGATGTCAAGCTAGATGCAATATTTCTTGTTAAGGTTGTGAATCTCAGTTATGTAGAGACACCAAAACACTTGTAGACGCAACAATAATGAACATAGTCAATAATCAATATTTCTTGTTGGAGTCGTGCATCTCAATATCGTAGCAGTCTTAGTGGTAGTGGACAACATTATTTAATATCTTGTTCTTTGTGATAATTTTGACCTTAGACAACCATGGTGACATTCAAAAAGATAAGTGTTGAAGTGTAAAGTAATGTCATATGTTATACAATGAATGAAGACACATAGGACAAACATTAAACATGTTTACAGAAAATGGCATGGTATGAATAATAGTTTTCTTACAATTTAGTTTGGATTTCTTCTTTTTTATAAGTTAGTCTAATGTTATATCATAATGAATTGTTTTATTATTTATTCTACTTGTTGAGAGCATTGAAATCGAGTGATCGAAGAAGTTACTAAGATAAATACATCAAAAAGAATGAGGTAAACATCAAACGATGAAAAGATCGAAGATAAGATTAAGAAAGAGATGATTACACATGAAATCAGAGGAATGATTTTTTTATAAGTTAGTTTAATGTTATATCATAATGAATGATTTTATTATTTATTTTGTTGAGGGCATTGAAATCGAGACATTGAAGGGGTTACCGGGATAAATACATAAAAAAGAATGAGATAAACACATCAAACAATGAAAAGATCAAAGACAAAATTAAGAAAGAAATGATTACACATTAGATCACAGGAAGGAAACAAAATAAACCCAACATAGTAATGGAAATAAAAAAATGAACAAAAACTCATAAAATGCATGGAGAAAGGGATTCATTAGACAAAATTGAAAGATAAGTTATGCGAGGTTAAAAGGAAAATTGAGACATATGGTAATTGTTGCAAACACGAGCTTAGTAAAACATAGTTAAAACATATGATAAATATTGTAAATATGAGCTTAGTAAACATAATTGACACAATATCAATGATTTTTAAGCTATTATTGTAAATTTTATAATTATCTTTTATTTTATTTTAACTTAAATGTTGAGACATATGATAATGGTTGTGAGCTTAGTAAGCATAATTGATATTAACACCAACAATTTTTAAGCAATTATTATAAATTATATTTATCTTTTATTTTATTTTAACTTAAATATCAAAAGGGTGGGAAAATATAAATGATTATTTATATGAAAAAAAAAGTGATAAATTGAATTTACAATACAAATATTTTGAAAACACCAGAAAAGGTACGGGCTAATCACGTGAATATATATATATATATATATATATATATATATTAATGTTTAATATATTATTTAAATAACAAAAATAATAAATAATATAATAGTATTTAAATAGTTGATCTCAATTTAATTGAGTAACGTGATTCGTTCTATTCTAGATAAAAATAATTGCAAACTAATCCAAAAATCTTCGACTTCATTCTGTGTTTTTTCCTTTATGAATTAGTTTTCTGTTAGGTTTTTATTTATCGATTTGATTTTAAAGATTCCTATTCCATTCAATGTTAAAAAACAGGTTTAGGTTTATGATTTGATGAATAGTGGTAAATAAGTGATACTTCAATACAAATTTAAAATTTGTAAGACTACGTCGTTCTTCAGCCCCAACAAGAAGAAATACTGTTCTAGGCATGAACTTTATTACACTTAACTCTCAAAATCCAATTGAAAATTTGAAATGCATAATTTAGCACCATTTTCGTTGTCAAAATCCTATGTAACGGAATCATCATAGAAGTTCAAATCCTATGTTACAATTATAATCCAATGGAAACGGATGATTATAGCACCATTTCACTACTGAAAAATTCCTATATAACATAACAGATCAAGCTTAGTTACTTGATCTTGAAGAGTTCTTGACCACAAACAGAGGTACCCTTTCCTTTACCACCCTTTCCTTCTTCACCTCTTCTTCTGACACCCCACTTGAACTTCCACCTTTCTCTCTTCTCCCTCTTGCCAGCCTCTTCAATTCAGAGCAGAACCCATTGATCTGACTAAGAATCTCTCTACCACCCAACAAATTTTGTGCAGAGAAAGTACTCTTGAGCTGATTTTTTCGCTGACTTTTCGCAGGACACTCCACTGGACCAGTATTCAGCTCTTTTGGACTTGGATTTCCATCCTTTGTCTTCATCAATGGCTTCTTTAACTTGTTGGTCCTACTTCCACTGGGAAGTGGAGCCGTAAAGTTTGGATTCCTATTCTCACTGTCTTCATAAAAGTTTTCAGAACAGCTTGGCCTTCTAGATCTTTCACTATTCTTGGCTTTAGCGATTTCCACAATTGAAGAATTTCCCCTACCACAGAACCATAAAAATGAGTCAGGTTAATCATACGCATTTGCAATCATAAAAAAACTTGATCTTTAGTCTCCTTCTGAAATGTGATGAATTTGATCCGGACCTTATACTTAATCTTGATTTGATAGGAGATAAAAGCCCGTAAAATTCAGAATATAAGATTAAAATCATGCTATCTAAAATATAGATACTAAAATCAATTTTAGCCAAATTTCAAGTTACTTAAAGACATTTCTTAAATCCCTTTTCATAGGATTCGGTACCTTCGGTGTCTGTCTCTAAAGGGGAGCATTTCAGAAAAGGATGCAAATCTTAAACGCTTAACCTGCTCGACCAAAAACAAAAGGGAAAAGAAAAATTAATTCATCATCACGAAAAACTTATCCACAAATTAAGTTATTGAACAATCCAATAGAATACAAGAAACAAGAATTGAGGATGCGACCTTGGAACTGCGTTTAAGAAAATCTTCAGCGGTTTTCGGATGCTTGCAATCTGCGAGTGGAAAAGAAACAACTGAGCAAGAGGGGAAAAAAAGCGAGAAATGAAATTCCACATATACGCTCGTAAAGAGCCTCACCGCGAGTGCAGAACCAGGCTTCATCATCAACGAGAGAGTCATCAAAAGCAGAGAGATCGACCCACATAGGCGCGTCAAAGTTCTCGTATGTGTCGTCTAGAGCGAACGTAGAGTCGATGTTGTCCCAGTCAATGTTGTCCGGTTCCATCTGAATCTGAAAAGTTAAAGCCAGAAATAGTAGTTAGAGAAATGAATTGGAATTGGAAAATGGAAAGGAAGAAGAGGATGAAAATTGTTGGAAATGTGAAGATCCCAGTATTTTGTTGCAGGAGAAAGCTCAGAAGAAGAAGGAGAAGGAGATTATAGTGGAATAAGCAGAAGAAGGTGTGGCCTTTGTATATGGTTAATCAGGATTAAGGAATGTGTAACGTTTGGACGTTAGAACATGACATTTACGTTCGTGTAGGAATAGGATGTTTTAAATAAATTCGACCGTTGGACACTTTCTCCCTCTTTCTTCTTGACTCTCTGTTATTATGTTCTTTTTCATTATCAAACTGTAAGAATTAGGAGAAAAAACTGAAATTAAGAAAATAAATAAACGAAGTGAACAAATTAGAAACAAATAGTGGATACATTTTTTTTAACTAAAATAATTTTTTTCAAATAAATCACTTACTTAAGAAGTTTTTAAGATTTACTTTTCATTGTATTAAAAATTGTTTAAAAAAAATACAAACAAAGGAGTTTATTGTATACCTTTCTCCTTTGTGATATAATATATATATATATATATATGGGTTTGCTAACGCGCGTACGCCTGTTTTTCAGTTGGTACATTTTAGCAATGTATACTGGATTTTAGTAGACAAAAATACCCTTATATATCATGGATTCTAAGTTTTAAGGTTAAGGGTATTTTAATAATTTTCCTTCTCAAAACTTAAAAAAAAAAAAAAAAGAAACCCCCCAAACCCTTACTCACCTCTGTCATTCCTCTCAACCCTTTTTCTTTCATCTTTCTCACTCCAATCTTTTCTCTGTCATCCCTACTGTAGCCCTAATTGAAAAAATCAGAAACACTTGCCCTTAAACAATCTTACAAAAAAATGATTTTATAATGAGTTTTGATCTTATAATTTTTGTCTTATCTAATTTTATCCAATTTTCAGAAGCATAAAGGAATTGGTAATTGACCTGGAAAAAAATCAGAAATACTTGTTGTTAAACAATTTCTTACAAAAAATGATTTTATAATAAGTTTTTATTTTATAATTTTTGTCTTATCTAATTTTATCTAATTTTCACAAGCATAATGACATCCGAAAGAATTGGTAATTGGCCTGGAGAGTTTTTTTAGAGATGATGATTCAAGATGATGAAATTAGAGAAATTAGTGAAGATGGTGAAATTGAAGAGATCTTGAATGAACCTTTGCCTCAAGGTGAATATGTACTCAACTCTTTAGAAAGACAAATTGTTTAAAGACAAGTGTTTCTGATTTTTTCAATTGGGGCTAGAGTAGGGATGACAGAGAAAAGGTTGAGTGAGAGAGATGAAAGAGAAGAGGAATGAGAGAGGTGAGTAAGGGTTTGGGGGGTTTCCTTTTTTTTTTTTTAAGTTTTGAGAATGAAAATTATTAAAATACCCTTAACCTTAAAACTTAGAATCCATGATATATAAGGGTATTTTTGTCTACTAAAATCCGGTACACATTGCTAAAATGTACCAACTGAAAAACAGGCGTACGCG